TGAGCCTCCCATCACCAAATCACCCGTGTGCCATCACCATAGTCCAGTACACCGCTCCCCCCGCCCCCATTTTGATCCCATTCTCCACTCCAACCTGTAAAATGTCTCTGGTATATAGTTGTTTATTATTATTATTATTTCCTCTCCTGGTCCTTTATACTCCTGAGTGAAACCAGTGGGTATTTTTCCTTTTCTTTCTGGCTTATCTCACTATGCATGGGACCATTCCATCTCCATCTATGTTGCTGCAAAAGGCATGTGTTTATCTTTTTGATTGCTGAGTAATATTCCATTGATCACCTCATAGTTGTCTTTATTTTTCCCATCTCATCCCCATTCACTGTATCTTTGTTAGAACTCTTACCCTATTTAATCACAGGCATTCCCACTTGAATTCTAATGACCAATTCTTGAAACCGCTGGCATATTTAAAAATTTTTTAAAGTATTATTAAATCTCAGAATTTGCCAAGTCTGGTGAGTATTTGAAGATATGGTTAAAACTAAGAATCCTAGGGATTTGTCCTCTCAAGTGTAGTACCCATAAAATTCTCTTCCCACCCCTGGGATAATCCCACTCTCATGCAGAATGTGTCTGATCTATAGTTGCCTGTTAATATTGTCTTCTTTTCCCTTTGATCTCTTATTTGGTTCCCTATATTCCTCCTGTAAGTGAAACCAGCTGATATATTTCTCTTTTCCTTCTGGCTTGCTTCACTGAGCATAACCCCTTCCAGCTCTATCCGTGTTGCTGCAAGTGGCATAAGTTTATCTTTCTTTCTTTTTTTTTTAAAGATTTATTTATTTGTACATACAGAACTGGGGTACAGGCCAGAGGCTCAGGGGTGGCAAGAGGCTTCACCAGAGACAGAGTGGGGAACAGAGCAGGTAGATCGACGAAGTACACTGCTGAGGGGAGCAGCGGGCGGGTCAGGAGATGTCTGCCACACCATGTGGTCACCTCCGGGGCAGGTGGGGATCGAACTCATGCTGAAGTGGCTTTAGCTTCTCAGTGCAGTGCTTTAACCTGCTGCGCCACCAGGGAGGGCCCAAGTTTATCTTTTTGATTGCTGAGTAATATTCCATTGTGTATATATACCACATCTTCTTGATCTACTCACTGTTTTAAGGTATTTAAGTTGTTTCTATATCAGCTATTGTAAACACTGTTGTAATAAACATATCCTTTCAAGTTAATTTTTTTGTGTTCTTTGAGTAGATTCCTAGGAGTAAAATTGCTGGGTCATATGGTAGCTCCATTTTTAGTGATTTGAACAACCTCCACACAGCTTTTCATACTGATTAGACCAGTTTGTATTGCTACCAGCAGTGTAAGAGAGTTCTGTTTTCTCCACATTCTCACGAGCATTTATTATTGCCAGTTTTTTTAAATATGTGCCATTTTCACTGGTGTCATGTAGTATCTCATTGTGGTTTTGATTCACATTGATTCAGTTTGCATGATATTGAACATTTTTTTCATATACCTGAGGAGAAATCAAGCACTGTAAAAAAAATGAACAATGATGTTATATATATATATATACACATAATGTATATGTATATATATTACACACACGTATATACATACATATATGTGTGTATACATGTATATATACATGTGTATATATGTGTGTATATATAATAAAAATATAAGAGCTATTTTCCCCAATCAGTGGGTTGCCTCTTTGTGTAGTGTCTCTCTTGTTATACAGAAGCTCTTTAACTTGATGTAGTCCCAGCTGTTTATCCTTTCCTTCACTATCAGTATTTTTTTAAAATAATATAATAGTTCATTTTTACATAATTTTGTGCCTTTTTCCATCTTAGTTGTAATCCCTGTAGGCTTCCCATCACCAAATCACCTGTGTGCCATCACTATAGTCCAGTGCACTTCCCCCACTGCCCCCATTCACTATCTGTATTGGGGGGGGGGGGTGATGCGGCTTTAAAGATATTATTGAGGTGTATGTCAGGCAGAGTTTTGCCTACCTTCTAGATATTTTATGGTCTTGGGTCTTGTGTCTAGTTCTTTAATCCATTTTGAGTTGGTTTTTGTGCATGGTGGAGGTAGTAGGTCTAACTTCATTTTTTTGCATGTAGCAGTCCAGTTTTCCCAGCACCATTTGTTGAACAAACTTTCTTTTTTCCATTGCATATTCTTTGCTCCTTTGTCAAAAAGTAGCTGTCCATAAACCTGTGGATTTATATATGGGTTTTCTATTTGAATGCATTGGTCTGTATGTCTGTTCTTATTCTAGTACCATGCAGTTTTGATTATTATGGCTTTGTAGTATAGCTTGAAGTCTGGGATTGTGATGTCTCTGGTCTCTTTTGTTTTAGTCAGGGGAGTTTTGGCTATTCGAGGTTTTTTTGTTTTGTTTTTTTGTTGTTCCATATAAATCTCATCAATATTTGTTCTATTTCTTTAAAGACTGTCATTGAGATTTTTATTGGAATAGTGTTAAGACTGTATATCACTTTTAGTACAACCCCATCAAAAAATGGACTGAAGAGCTACAAAGATACTTCTCCAAAGAAGAAATGCAGATGGCCAGCAGGCATATGAAAAAAATGTTCACAATGCAAATTAAAACCACAATGAGATACCATCTCACATCAGTGAGAATGACACATATTAAAACAACTAGCAACAACAAATGCTGGCGAGGCTGTGGAGAAAAAGGAACTCTCCTACACTACTGGTGGATATGCAAGCTGATACAGCAACTATGGAAAGCTGTTTGGAGGTTTCTCAAAAGGCTAAAAATATATCTTTTCTATATGACCCAGCAATCCCACTCCTAGGTATCTATCCAAAGGACACCAAAACATTGATTTAAAAGGCCACCTGCCCCCCCCCCAGGTTTATTGCTGCTCTATTTACAATAGGGAAGATGTAGAATCAACCCAAATGCCAAAAAAATAGATGACTGGATTAAAAAGATGTGGTACATATACATAATGGAATATTACTCTGCAGTTAAAAAGATAAACTCATGCCTTTTGCAGCAACATGGATGGAACTGGAAGGGATCATGATTAGTGAAATAAGCCAAAAAGAAAAAGAAAAATACCAGATGGTTTCACTCATAGCAGGAGTGTAAGGTATCAGGGGCCCGGGGGAGGGGGAAGAGAGAGATAAATGTATGTAACAGAGTAAAAATGAAAACAGTGAACTACTATAAACAGACATTTTATGGGGCTGGAAAGGGGAATGGGATCAGAAATGGGGTGGGAAGAGTGCACTCGACTATGGTGATGGCACATGGGTGAGTTGGTTTTAGGAAGTCCATGGGGATTACAACTGAAATGGAAAAAATGCACAAAATGAAAAATGATGTAAAAATATAAAAAAACTTTTTAAATAATAATACTAGAAGAGAATTTACTGACTATAATTGAATGTTGTAGTAAGTAAATAAGGTTAAACCCAGAAGGAAAATTAAAAAAATAAATCGTAGTGAGAGAAAGGAATTCTGGATCCTTTGGTAGAGGAAGACAACCACATCTTGTGGAAGGTGGGAGTAGACTTGAGCTGAAATTCATCTTCCTAGGGTACATGAGTATTGCCAGCCAGTTTTCTTTCTCTCGCTTTCTTTCTTTTTTTGTATTTTTCTCTCTCCTTTGTGCTTTTTTTCATGGCATTGTCAGTTAACATTTCTCCCTCATTACACACCACATTTTCCGATTCTTTATCTTAGTGTTACATCTTGACTTGAGCATTTCCTGACTAGTATTTCAAAGTAAGCTCATTTGGGGAAGAAGAACTGCAGAATTATTAACATAATATGAATGAATGGTGTCTTTGTGGGTGTAAGCTTGGATTTTGAAAAGATGACGTTTTTATATTTTGAAATAATTACATAATTGGGGCATTTTTTATTTTGTTTGCAAATGATCAGCTAAAAATATGTATTAAAGCTAGCAACATTTATTAACACAATTTCCCCCCATATACTTCTTCAGTCAGTAGTGTATACTTTTAATTATTTTAAAAATAATTGCTGGTGTTGAAAGGGATTAAAATGCAGTACTCTGAAGCAATCTTCAGCCACTGCAGTACAAGTTCAATAGCTGGCCAGGACATGGCACAGCAGACCTCAGTTGTCTCACCTGCTGCTCCCCTCAGCAGTACTTCATCAATCTGCCTGTTCTGTGCCCGACTTTGTCTCTGGTGAATCCTTTCAGCTCCCCTCCCCCATCTCTGGCCTATACCCCAGTTGTTATATGCATAATTAAATAAACCTTAAAAAATTTTTAAATTTTGGTGAGATTGCAGGTACAATAATTCATTCTCATAATCTTGTTACATCACATTAGGATTTTTCTAGAAAAATGGAATGGCTGAGTTTTCTTCCATTGTGCCTTATTGCCATATTTTACCTGTGTCCATTTTTATTGATGAATACCTGTTTCTCTTTAATAGGTATTAATTTTTTTATTTCATTACATATTTTTTAGGTATTAGTGTTTTTATTTTCATTTCTAGTTGACAATCCTTTATACCCTTTCTGATATTAAAATTTTATTTCTGTAAGATTGTTAACAGGGCTCTAAAGTTTTTTCCTTTGCTTACAAATTAGAATTACATTTCTGGTAATTTCAGAACTGTGGTGAGTGGTAGGTAGAAGAGATTTTTTTTTTTAAGATCCATTATTCATCCCTGAAACATTAATGTCATTTTTTGTATATTCTGCTAACCATATTATTTTACTAAAGCCTACTTTATTAGTCTTATATATTATGGGATTTTTTGCTATAGGTTATTTATAGATGCTGCAAAACTGTTAAATTTAAAATCTTGTATTTTAATTTCTACAGCTGTGCTACATATGTATTCTTTGTGATATGTGTAGATATAGGAGATATACAAGTATAGGTATGGCTGTATGTACATACTGATGGTGTTCAATAGGATGCTGGATTAATATGCAAGTCTATGTGTGACAACGGAAGAAAAATCACGGCCTCTCTGAACACTTGATACATTTCTTACAGGTTCTGAGTTCTGTCCGCACAGAATGGGATCCGTTGGATGTTTGCTTTGGCACCAAACAGCCTTATCAAGTGTTCACAGTGCAGCACTCAGTCAGTGTAGACAAAGAGCCCATGGCTGACAGCTGCATCTACGAATGTGTTCGCAACAAAATCCAGTGTGTATCCGTCACCAGAATACCACTAAGATCAAAGGCCATTAGTTGCTGCAGGAATGTTACTGAAGACAAACTGATTCTGGGCTGTGAAGATTCTTCAATAATTCTTTATGAAACTCACCGTGGAGTGACTCTCTTAGCCCAGGCTGAACTGTTGCCGTCATTAATAAGCTGCCACCCAAGTGGTGCCATTCTGCTAGTTGGCAGCAATCAAGGGGAGCTGCAAATTTTCGATATGGCTCTATCCCCTATTAACATCCAGCTCTTGGCTGAAGACTGCTCACCCAGGGAGACTCTACAATTCAATAAATTATTTGATGTCTCCAGCAGTCTTGTCCAAATGCAGTGGATAGCTCCTCAGGGTGTTTCTCAGAAGCCTGAAAGTGGGGAAATCTATAACCTCCTCTTCCTCAGGTTTGACAGAGGACCGTTGGGTGTTCTTTTGTTTAAACTTGGTAAGTCAAGGACATTGGTGAGTAAGTAATTTGAAGTGTTTTATGATGGCGACACTCTATATAGTTAAAGCATCGTAACTGTTCTTGGAATGTTTGTTATCCCATAAATATGCTTGCCTGTCAAATATTTCATATATTTCTTCAAGATGAATTTGTATATGATTTTCTAAATGTCAAGGAACATTAGATATGGAAGAATTAGATATTGAAGGATTTAGAAATTGGCACTATTTATAAATTGTTATTCATTGTTATGAATAAAAAAACTAAACTTTCACATTTTGATGCTCTACAAAATAAACATTTTGATGCTCTATAAAATAAACTTATACTGAAACAAATTATTTAATAGGTATGAGTATTTAAAAGGTATTTATTTTCCTTTAAAAATATTCTTTGCTAGTTACATATATCTTAAAATTATTTTAGCTTAAAGGATAGGTTGCTTCCCACTTTGAAATTGTATAATGCTAGTGTTTTAACAGAAGAAAAAAAGCAAATATTTAGTCAGAAATTGCTAAAGATATGTCTTAGTTATCTTGTAGATAAAAATATGAAAAAGGATTTATTAGTACTGTTCTGTGTCACTTAATAACAGGATGTACTTGAAGAAATACACCGTTGAGTGAATTCATCATCGTGTGAACACAGCATAGTGTACTTACACAATCCTAGTGAGACAGCCTACACCCTTGCTCAGGGACTACCGTGGTCCATTGTTATGTGGCAGATTCGAGAGTGTGCCCTTTTCAACTAGGAGACTTTAAAATGAAATTTTAGCATTATGAAATTTAGTATTATAATTTTGCCTTACCAGCTATGTCCTGAAATACATGGTATTATTTAGGTAGTTTTTTATAGTCTAACATTTTTTAGAGAACCTCACTTAGTTTAAAAAAACAAAATAGGTTTTAATTAATGCATGTCATGGCTGCTTGAACACATAGAAAGTAAATACATTTTAAAACCTCTTGCAGTACAGGATTTGACACTTGCACAAAGTTAAGGTTTTAATGCATCTTCTGGCTTCTAAAATTCAACCCATGAAATAAGTCTAATGAAAATAACTTAATTAACCTGAAAGATATAGTGTGAGGGCTGTGTTCTTTACACAGAGTAAATCTACAGCTAAACCTATTTGTAATGTTAATGTTGGGCAAAAAACAAACATTTGGAATCTTCTTTATTACAAAATAGTCCAGGTCTATTTTGCCCAACATGTTCAACAGTTGTATGTCTCCATGCACAACGTTCATTAACGTGGATGTTAGCTGCTTTACATGTCTGTTAAGAGAAATGCATGTGCACAAGCATGTACAAACACATGTGCACACATACACTCACACTCAGTCGCTCATGTCCTCTAAATTACCCAGTTACCTGTCAAACAGCAGGCTGTCTGCCACATACACCTAGCTTTTCTTTCGCCCTCCCTGTGGGCCTACTCACAACAGCTTTACAAAAAGCACAGCTTTCTCTTCCTATCTCTAGCACATTTGCCTTCTTACTAAAGTAAACAGGCTCTCAGTGTAGGGATTTAGAGGGCTTCCTGCTAATTGCCAGCTTGTAAACTTAATTGGACTGTCTCCCTGGGCGCTGTTCCTAAATCAATTAGGCAATGAGTTGGCTGTCACCTCTTTTTCCCAAGAAGGTCTCTTGGAAGAGAATTATCCAATAGAAGTCAAGCATTCAAATGAAAGGTGATAACTTTTGCAACTGACATTTATCAAATTTTATTTTCAATGTAACTCTTAAGTTTTATAAGATAGGACAGTTTTGTAGTCTTTCAGACTTCTTTAAAAATCTAAATATGGAAGTAACTTAGGACAGAAAAAGTTTTTGTCTTCATTTTTTATGTATTATAAATAATGTTTATTACAATGATTTCTTTTTCCTGAGAATAGTAGATTCCTTTAAACAGTAGATTCCAATTAACATTTTTTTTAAAAGAAAATCCTCTTTAAAGAACAGATTTTTCTTAGGATCTGCTACTAAATACATCCAAAAATTTAATATACTTCTTGAATTAACACAGTGCTGATTCTGGGCTTTCATGTGAATTTTCATGTATAATTCAAGTTACTGCATATATAAGCAGGTAGTAGCATGTACAGTTTTCCCACTAGGGAGTATTTATGAGATTTTTTTCAGATGCTCGTTATGCAAGCCTTTGGAAAATTTGACATGAAAGGTGTAGCTTACAATTTACGAAGCTGGTACAGATCATAGTTTAAAATAGAATGCTGTCATGTGTAAACATTGTAGGGGCTGGTGCTATTATGCTAGGATTTGGGGAGTTTGGCTCTTAGATTAGGTCAGTTAGCGTAATGTTGACGGTAAACTTTTTCTAAGAGTACCTCTTCCATTCTAAATCCGTATCATCATTGCACAAGTGTGTTGGAGATTAAAAGGCCATCACACTTTTATTAGAAGAATGCAAAGAATATGTCTTCCTCGGGAGGGAGCAAGATGTGTCATCCTCCCACACGGAAGCCAAGAACTATTGTTTATGTAAAGCTATCATATAATCAGATTCCTTTTACTTGACAGTCATTATCCCAATCTACATACGTAGACTGACATTAATTTTTAAAAGAGGCCCTAATTATACTGCTGAGACCTTAAAGCTTTTGCAATTTCATCAGTACTTTTTCCAACCTTCACTGCTCTCTTTAAACCCATGTGGTCTGCTCCCTGCCCCCTGCAGAGGACCTGACCAATTAAGTTTTCTGTTGCTCATCATCCACACACCCACTGAACCTCTTATTTACATGGACATAAATCTTCCCTTCTCAATTCACTGGGAAGAGAGCCCATCCTCTGGCCTAGGACTAGTTCCACCACTGGTTACTCTGGATCCTACAACCTTCCCCTTAACACCTTTACCTTGTTGCCTCCCAACCACTCCCACAAATACTGTTACATTAGTACATAAAGGCACAAGCTCCGCCATAAGACGAACTCTTTATTGAAATTATTTCCATTCTATTATTAATCATATGTTCACAATCATATGAACATTATCATGGCCATCTCTCATGTTTCATCTCATTGAAGTAATACTAGACTCTGACTTTCTCTACTTCTTCCCTTCTTACTTACTCCTTAAAGCACTGTATCCTGGTTTCAGTGTTGTCCTGAAACTTCTCTTGAGAAAGGCAACAGGGACATCCCACTATATCTGTGTCTATTTTCCTTGTTACCTGATGACTTTTCAGCATTGTGTAATTGTTGACGCCCACTCACTGTACTTCCCTTCTGTGACCCTGATTCAACTTTCTTCAACTTTTTATTCATTTCTGCTTATTTAAAAAAAATGTTGAGGCTCTTTAGGGTTCCCTCTTCAGCTTTCATTTTATGCAGTTTGAGTTTATTGTGAATTTAAGTGTCCCATCTTCAGCCCAGACCACCCTTAACCCCATATCTACATATTCACCGAGCTGCTGGTAACTCCTGTTGGGTGGATGCAGGTGTACCTCTGGCACAGTGCAGACGTGAAATCATTATCTTTCTCCCCAGACATGCTGCTCTTCCTATTTTCTCCAGTTTGGTGGATGGTACAGTTACGTAGATGGAATCCCAAGTCAAATCGGTCCTAAAGTCTTGCATCACCCCTATTGCCATATCCAAACATTTGCCTTCTAAATGTGGTCAAGCATGTATAGGCTATGTACATCTCATTCTCAGTTGGCTGCAATTAGCTTAGAATTTCCCTATTTTACCATGAGCAAGCAGTGCCCCTCTATCTGTACCCTTCACCTTTTCAATCTTCCCATCCCATCTCTAGGTAGGTCCCCAAAGTGCCAGCAGAGTTACCTTTCTAACAGTACAGAGTTGGTCATATATTCTCCAACCTGAAACCTTTCTGTGGTTAATAAACCTTATCTGCCTCTCAGTTCATCTTTCAACCTGCTCCACTGGAGTAGTCCCCAGTCCTGGCATGTGCTGTCACAGGCCTTTCTTCCCTATGGTGGTACTGGGAATATTCCATCCCCTGGAGAAGCACAGTTCTCTCATAGAGCCTGCAAAGTGGGAAAAGGTTAAGTATTCAAATAATGATATTAAATAAGTAACTAAAACTAATTTTTGCCTCTCAGGGGATTTAGAAAATCACAGCTGTGTCTGTCACTCTAAAAAACATGTACTTTTTTTTCTTAGTACTTTTATAAGAAAAATGGTCTTTAGTAGTTTTTTAAATTATATATTTAGGCCCTCCCTGGTGGCGCAGCGGGTTAAAGCATAGCACAAAGAAGCTTAAGCCACTTCCACATGAGTTCTATTCCCCGCCTGCCCCGGAGGAGATCCACATGGCAAGGCAGACCTCTCCTGACCCGCCTGCTGCTCCCCTCAGCAGTGTACTTTGTCCATCTGCCTGTTCTGTACCCCACTCTGTCTCTGATGAATCCTCTCACCCTCCACATCTCTGGCCTGTACCCCAGTTCTGCACGAATAAATAAATAAATCTTTTAAAAAATGATATATTTAAATATTATACTTTACCCAAGTAATTATTAGTATAATTTATTGCTAGAAATGTCCAGAAAGAATGTTAGGGTCATTTTCACAGGTGTGAATGGTATCTCAATGTGGTTTTGATTTCTATTTACCTGATGTAATGATGAACAATTTTTCATGTACCTACCTGTTGGAGAATTGTCAATTTAGCTCTAGCCCATTTTTTTTTTTTTTTTTGCTTGGGTCATTTGCTTTCTTTTGTGTTCGTTTGTATGAGTTTTTGGCATATGTTGGTTATCAGCCCTTTTTCAAATGTATGATGTATGGATAGTTTCTCCCTTTCAGTGCCTTTTAGTTTTAGTGATAGTTCTTTGTACAGACGCTCTTTAGTTTGATGTAGTCCTATTTGTATTCACTTTTGATTCTCTTGCTGTTGGAGACAAATCCATAAAGATCACTTAATCCAATATCATGGAATATTTTGTCTCTGTTTTCATCATTGTTTTTTATGGTTTCTTGTCTTGCTTCCGCATCTTTTTTAAATA